CTTCTTTCTTTTTTTTTTTTTTTTTTTTTTTTTTTTTAATTTATTTTTAATTTTTAATTATTACTTTGTTTATGAGTTCAACTCCAACATCTTTGGAGAGTTTGGAGAGTGGTTGCGAGCTATGTTTTTTTTTCTTTTGTTTTTATCCCATATCTCATTTTCTATATTCTTTTACTATTTTTATGTTTGTATATTAGAGCTAGAACGATGTATCAGCTAGAGAATGTTGAACCCTAAAATGGGTGGACACCGTACAATGTGCCAAGACAATGAAGGGTGTGATGAAATGGAGAGCTCAAAAAGGGGTAAGCTCGAAATAGAAAGCTCAAAATGGGGAACTCAAAAAGGGGTAAGCAAAGCTCCTCAATGAAGATAAGCCCGAAATAGAAAGCTTGAAGCTTGGAATAGAAAACGAAAAGAGGATAAGTTTGCCCAAAATAGAAATTAGAAAGCCCAAAGAGGGTAAGTCCGAAATAGAAATAAAAAGCCCAAAAAAGGTAAGCCCGAAATATAAAAAAATTACACAAGAGGACAATATCTAATTTAGTTTAGATTAGAAAGGTGTATAATTGGGAATTAACCAACAATATCTGCAGTGTATAATTGCTTAGTAATGCTCTCTAACATGTGAAAAATGAAAGAAGAAGAAGACAAGATAAACAAGAACTTTTATTTGCATAAACTCATAAAGAGCCCTAACAGCTAATGTGCTCTCTATGCCTCTCTTTTCCTATCACAGCAGCCAAAGTATGCTGAAGAGAGAAGCTCGGTCAGATATTTCCGAATTGGAAAATTCTACCTACACTACACAATCCAACATGCGAATCCAAATCCAAATCCAGAACAAATTATGAAAAGCTAATCCAGTTTCTTTAACCATCTGAATCAAAGTAGAGAATGGAAATCAAAGATAACGAGAGGAGGAAGAAATCAAGAATTCCACCTGATCTGAACCCTAATTCTTCAGATTCTCCGGACTTTTCGAGTCGTGATTTTCCTTTCTCCTGCAGCAATCACGGATTTCTCAAGATTCACTGGCAATGGAGGCTTCTTGTTCTCCTTCGTCATGCTTCGCAGCAAATACCTAGGAGCCGCCGCGCTCTGCTCCACAGAAAACGCTGCACCAACCGATTTCCTCAAGCTATTTGCAAGCTTCTTCGAACTGTGCCGCTTCGAAGATTCGACCGTCACGCCGAGAGTGTATGGAGTCTTGATTTCGGATGCGGATTCGGCTTTCTTTCTCTTAAGCCTCTCGTTCCTCCTCGCAGAGTACTCGTCGTAAAATCTCCCCCGCTCGAACAGAGAACTCGAATTCACGCTCAATTGATCGCCAACTCCGCCTTTCTCAGATTCTTCACATCCTAATTCCATCTTAACCATGCTTGCCAGAGCTCGTAACTCGCAAGAAATTGTCCGATACTCAGGTCGGAGCTCCGTTTCCTGCAGATCCGAAGGACGGATCATTTTCAGCGATTTCGTCAAAGAACCTGTACACAGACAAAAACATAGTAGATCAGTTCAAGAATCGCAAAATTAAACAAAAACAAGAACGATTTTCATCGTAATCAACGGAATATTCACTCGGTTTCTTCCAATTTACCGGGCGGCGTTTGCATCGAGGTTGAGTTCGATTGAGGAACCCGACGAGATCTGAGCCGCAAGGGTGATCTGGCGAGCGGCGGCCTGCGATCAGATCTCATCTTAGACATTGATAGTTGGAAACCGACGGAGAAACGCTATTTTCTTGTTGAAATCTGTGAATGAATTTTGTCTTTGTTGCAGGTTCTTGGCGATGGGTTTGAATTGAGATTTAAATGAGAGGGAGCGTCCTCAACGGTCATATTTTTTGAACCCTATATGGGAGGCTGACCTGTCAGCCGCGTGTCTATTTATTTTTCAATAAATTGCCGTTTATATTTTATAAGAATGCAAATTAAAAGTTATTTTGCTAATTAAACGTATAATTATCGTTTAATAATTAAATAATTATTAAATGTTTAATAATTAAATAATTATTAAATGTTTAATTATTAAATGATAATTATACGTTTAATGTGACCTTATATAAAAATAATAAATTAAATAATTATACATTAAAAAATGTTTATAAATTAAGAAATTTTAGAACAGGATATTAGAATTACCAATTTGAACATGACTCAATCAGATAATTGGACTAATGAATATCTTAAAAGTTGATTGGTACCGGTTTGGCTTGATTGGTTCGGATATCCATTTCATATTGGTTTTATAAATCCTATTGAGTTGATATAATGCGACGATCCTATTTTTTCAATTAAAATAAAGTTGTCACTACATGCATGTCATGTCATGAGTACGGGAGGGCCAATGCCTCGATAAAATTCAGATGAATGGATGTTTGGGATGTCCCGACATTATGAACGACATGTGGGCACGTTTTTTATAGCATGATCAAGTGAGTTGTGATGGCCGAAGACACTTTGTGACTTAGACGACATTAAGATATCCCTAATAGAGGTAAGGTAAGTTAGTTATGTCGCAAACAATTGAACAATTGAACATTCATGTGCAGGGCAGCATGTGTGACTGAACAAGCTTAGATTCCACATAAGTGATGTTCGATTGACGAAGAAAAACCTCTCATAAGGTTCGACGAAGCTGCAAAACTGGACGGATATATATGGGCTTGAGTTTCCCTCAAGGCTGGTTGTTAGTGTGTCAAGATCAAGACATCGTATGATTGAAAAAGTACGACCGTGACATCGAGCAGATCTATTAGCTTCCAGCCAACCAACCAATCCTGTTGACCCGAGGAGATGCAACAAAGCCCTTAAGGATGGTCGTTAGCATGTCAAGATCACGACAGATCACAATTGAAAAAGTACAATCGTGACATCGAGTAGATCCGTTCACTTCCAGCCAACCAATCAATCCTGTTGATCCGAAGAGATGCAACAAAGTTTTCGGATCATTGTGCAATGTCCTAATTAGATGCCTCAGTCCCTTCTTTTCCGGCGTCCTTGTTCCCCATAATTTGATTGTGCTCGAAAGACGAAACAAATGAAATCAAGACTTGTTGGGAAGATACCTCTGCCTTTCTTGTTCTATTCTCGTATTGCTGAAAGACGCTCACTATCTACTCTTGATTTAACACGCTACTAGAAATCTAGTGTCGGGATCGACACTCGTATGAGAGTACCTTGTAATCTTCTCAAAGATCCTTAATTAAGAAATTTGGTAATATTAAAGATAAAGAACAAAGTAAAACTGAATATCTAAAGTAAAAGGACAAAGGCTTGACGACTTGTCCCTTAAGGTATCTCGATTCGTTTTTTTTTCGTCACTAGAAATCAAGCAACAAGAGACTCCCTCGATCGTCCCTGCTCGACGGCCATTTGAAGCTTCTGATCTTTCTCACAACTCTCTCTCAAGGTTCTAAGCTCCTTTTTTCTCTCCAATTTGATCTGCCTACAATTTATGCAGCATTTCTCAATCTCGACTATGGCTTACAATTTGTTTTGTGAATTGCGATGTATTTGATGGTTTGCTTTATGATTTCTTCTGTGATTCTCTGCAAAATTAGGGGAATACAAAAGAGAACGAACTTATGTCTTTGTTTATCATTCCTTTTGCCTCTAGTTCTCTCTTCCGCGTTTGCTTTCTTCTCTGTTTTTGTTTCGTATTTGCGATCAGCCCTCAATATGTTATTCCATTTTTATATTCCATAGGTTTTATGAGTATACCTGCAGATTATAGAGGCTTTTGGTGTAACTATAGGTTATATTAAATTTTCAGTGAGCTTCATATCCGAAATTCGAATTCATGACTATGTGTGCTAAAAACTCTCTAATATATAGGGCGAAATTGAAAAAACAGTGTAAAACGATGTTATCTGCTCAATCCAACTCAATCCCTCTGGGATTGGATTAGTTGATAGTTCAAGTTGGTTAAACAATGAACCCAAGAAATTGGGTGCAGTGATTTGCGTCTACAAAAAGCTTCAACAGAAAAACATGCCTTCAATTGTGTATTTTTCACTTGTTAATGTATTTCAAATTTGTTGCTGATCTATCAGAAAACTAAGGATTTGTAGACCTGTGTGAGCTTTGTGATGGCAACTGAACAGAAAGCAGCTACTGAGGAAGTGAAAGTTGACCTCTTTGAGGATGATGATGAGTTTGAAGAGTTTGAGATTGATGAAGGTATGACTTGTAATTTTTTGGTTTCAATTTGCACTCATTTTTTATTTATCAGTGCTTGTTGTGAAATTTCTCCTTTGTTTCAGCCATTATAACGTGAATGTTCTGCAATGGTCTGGATAAGCCTGTTACTGACTCAATCCTTACTGCTAGCATTCTTCATTTGGATGCCCTATTGTTGTTGTTCTGTTCACTCATTATTTCCTAGTAAATTCTTGGAATCCAGTGTTTGAAAAAAATCAGCCAGAATGTTTGTAAACTCAATTGCAATAGGAACAATCAATCAAAACGAGTGTTGATTAGGATAAAGAAGAGTTGGAATAATCCATGGTTTTTAAAAGATATGCCCCTTAAGTTGTTGGTGACAACAGAAAACTGAAGTGAGATTGAGAGGAGGAGTGATTTGAATGACGGGAGGGAGGTCCTTTTATAGGGGGATTCCTGGAGTTGGTTGAGATTTGTGTGGACGAAATTGAATCCACCTCCTCCTTCTCTTCGGCAGTAACTCATTCAACTCATTCAAACTCATTCAAACTCTATTATTAGCTTCAACACCCTCCCTTAAACTGAATTCTGCGGAAATCAGTTTAGGACTTCACTTCGTCATCTTGATATACATCTTGGATTCTGCACATTCCCATTTTTCTTCTAAGCTTCTCGAACAATGGTTGTTTCAAGGGCTTTGTGAATAGATCTGCGATTTGTTCATCACTTCGGCAAAAGTTGAGTTCAATAATGCCTTCTTTACACAAATCACGCAAGAAATGAAATCGAACATCGATGTGCTTGCTCCTTCCATGCAACACAGGATTTTTAGACAACTTAATAGTTGACATATTATCACAATATATAACCGTCGTACCTGGTTGCTTCTGATTAAGAATTTCAAGCATTTTTCTTAACCAAATTGATTGGCACGAGCATGCTGCTGCTGCCACAAATTCTGCTTCTGTAGTTGAGAGTGTTACAATAGGTTGCTTCTTTGAAGACCAGCAAATAGCTCCTGAACTCATCATGAAAATACTTCCTGAAGTACTTTTACGATCGTCTATATCACCTGCATAGTCACTATCTGTATAGCCAACCATCTTCGGATCATCTCCTTTCTTGTAGAATACCCCCAAATCAAAGGTTCCTCTCACATAACGAAGTATCCTTCTTGCTGCATTGAGATGTTTTTCCGTTGGATGCTCCATGTAACGACTTATCATACTAACCGCATACATGATGTCTGGTCTTGTTGAAGTTAGGTACATCAAACTTCCCACAATTTGTTTGAAGTACCTATTATCAACCTCTCGCCCGTCAATATCCTTGTGCAACTTTAAACCCAATTCTGATGGAGTTCCAAAGGTGCGCTCATCCAATTTAAACCTTTCAAGTAATTCTTGAGCATACTTCTTCTGACAGATAAAGTTACCTGCGGGAGTTTGAGTAACTTCTACTCCAAGAAAATATCTCATCAAGCCAAGATCCGTTATTTCAAATTCCTTCATCATGCTCTTCTTAAAAAATTCAAACATTTCTTCATTATTGCCAGTAAATATTAAATCATCAACGTATAAGCAAATAATGATAATGTTACCTCCCTTTTCAGTTTTCACATACAACGTATGTTCATACGGGCATTTAGTGAATCCCATCTTTTCAAAATGAGAATCAATGCGACTGTACCATGCCCTCGGAGCTTGCTTCAAACCGTACAAAGCTTTCTTCAACTTGTATACTTGTTCCTCTTTGCCTTTTTGAACAAAACCTTCTGGTTGCTCCACATATACTTCTTCTTGAAGCTCTCCATGTAAGAAGGCCGATTTCACATCAAGTTGATATATAGGCCAAGATTTCTGTGCTGCAATAGAAATTATGAGCCTGATAGTGTCTTGACGTGCCACTGGTGCAAATACCTCTTTATAATCAATTCCATACTTTTGCTTGTATCCTTTTGCAACAAGTCGCGCCTTGTACTTATCCACCTCACCGTTTTCATTCAACTTGGTTTTGAAAACCCATTTTACTCCGATTGTTTTCTGCCCTCTAGGAAGATCAGTGAGCTCCCACGTCTTGTTCTTCTCTATGGATTTGATTTCACTGTCCATAGCTTCCTTCCATTTCTTCTCCTTTACTGCTTCTTCATAGACAATTGGATCACTATCCATAAAGAATGCAAAATAACCACTATCACTTGATTCATAGTCCATCTCATAATCAATCATCCAGTTTGGTCTCTTTCTTGTTCTTGGATGTCTTTGATTATGATCATGATCTTCTTCTACTGGTTCTTCTTGTTGAGCTTGTGATGAGCTCTCTCCATGCTCAAAGTGAGGCTGAATCGGGGCTTCAGTTTGTCCTTCTTCAAGATCTACAGGAATCTGCTGATTCACAGTGATCTTTTCTTCCCATGTCCAAGTCTTTTTTTCATCAAAGACTACATCACGACTTACCACCACCTTCTTTGTCAAAGGATCATAGAGCTTGTACGCCTTAGAGGTCTCGCTTACTCCAAGGAACACACACTTCAAACTCTTGTCTTCAAGTTTCTTCCTTTTCTCATCAGGAACGTGTGCATATGCTATGCACCCAAAGATTCTAAAGTGGTCTACTGCAGGTTTTCTTCCGCTCCATGCTTCTTGTGGAGTCATATCTCTAACAGAAAAGGTAGGACTCCGGTTGAGAATGTGAACGGACCACACGACAGCTTCTGGCCAGAATTCCTTCGGGACTTCTCCTTTATTTAGTAAACTTCGAACCATGTTGAGAATGGTCCTGTTTTTCCTTTCGGCCACACCATTTTGTTGTGGTGTATATGCTGTTGTTAACTGCCTCCGTATGCCCTTTTCTTCACAAAATTGAATAAACTCGTTCGAGCAGAATTCTCCACCTCTGTCAGTTCTTAAAGCCTTGACTCTTCTTCCAGTTTCCGTCTTCATAGTAGCACAAAACCTTTTGAAGCAATCAAAGGCTTCTGATTTGGCGTGCAAGAAATAAGTCCATGTTTTTCGACTAAAATCATCGATGAGGGTCATGAAATATTTCTTGTTACCATTTGATGCTGGAGAGATGGGACCACATATGTCCGAATGAATCAACTCCAAAATTGCTTGAGCTCTTCTTGATTTTCCAGATGGAAAAGAGTTTCTTTCATGTTTTGCTACTACACAGCTCTCGCAAATTTCCGTTGGTGGAGTAATATCTGGCAACCCAGTTACCATCTTCTTTGAGGACAACGTCTTTAATCCTTTGAAATGTAGATGACCATACCTAAAATGCCAAAGCCAGGTGGTATCTTCTTTCTTCACCATCAAACTTTTGGCAACGATATTTAACGTCAACGGATATAGACGGTTGGTGGTCATCTTCATCTTAGCAATCGATCCTCTTTTGGAGTCATAAATTTCACATTCATCATTTTGGAATGTGATCACATACCCCTTTTCTTGTAACTGACCGATACTAAGTAAGTTGGCTTTCAGATCAGGGATGTAGAATACATTAGAAATAGACTCTACAAAGCCATTTCTAGTCTTGATATCTACGGTTCCTTTCCCCATCACTTGGAGAGTTGAATTGTTGCCAAGAGAAACCGTAGTATGAAAATTTTCATCTAGAGTTGAGAAGAATTCCTTACAACCTGTCATATGATTGCTGCATCCAGAGTCTACGACCCATACACCTTGATCTGCAACCTTCATAGCATGGAATGACATTAATAATGTTTCTTCTTCTCTTCTCTCCACAAAATTGGATTGATCTCTTTTCTCCTTTTGAAGCCTGGTATAGCATTCATTTTTGTAATGTCCAAGGCGTCCACATCTGTAGCATTCCACCTTGGACTTGTCAAAGTGTCTCTTGCCTTTGTTTTCATAATCATTTCTGGCTAGGTCTACTGACCTGCCAACATCTCCACTTCTTTCTCGACTGCCTCTCCCACGACCTCTGCCTCTTCTTTGCCCTCTACCTCTAGGGCTTGAAGATTCACCTGGTGTGGATATTTTTAAGGCTGTCATCTCCTCTATTGCACTTGTACGATTGAGCCTCTGCTCATGTACTAACAGGGAGCTTTGGAGTTCATCTATTTGCATCTCTTCGACATTGTTTGCTTCTTCGATAGAACATACAATGTAATCGAACTTTGGAGTTAGTGATCGCAAAATCTTTTCTACGACCGCAACCTCCATGATTGAACCACCATGCATCCTCATTTTACTTGCAAGACTTATAACCTTGCCAATATAATCATTCACCATTTCTCCCTTTTGCATTTGGAGAATTTCAAAGTCTCTTCTGACGGCTTGTAGTTGAGCACGTTTTACTCTCGTTGAGCCTTGATACTTCCTCCTCATAGAATCCCAAATTTCCTTGGATGTCTTCTTCTGAAGCATTGTTTCCAAGATAGTCCTGTCAATGGACTGAAATAAATAGTTCTTGACCTTCAGGTCCTTCAGCTTCGATGCTGCCAACAGTTGCTGTTGACCAGCTGAGAGTACCCCTTCATTTGGCTCTTCATAACCCGTCTCCACCATATCAAAGAACTCCTTTGATCTGAGAAAATTTTCCATCAACATCGCCCAATGATCATAGTGACCATCGAACCTCGGGATGGCGGGCTGAACGTAGCTCTCAACTTGTTTTTCTGCTGCCATTTTTTTGCTGCTGCAAGATTGCTCTGATACCAGTTGTTGGTGACAACAGAAAACTGAAGTGAGATTGAGAGGAGGAGTGATTTGAATGACGGGAGGGAGGTCCTTTTATAGGGGGATTCCTGGAGTTGGTTGAGATTTGTGTGGACGAAATTGAATCCACCTCCTCCTTCTCTTCGGCAGTAACTCATTCAACTCATTCAAACTCATTCAAACTCTATTATTAGCTTCAACATAAGTATGCTATATTGGATGGGCCTTTTTAAGAATTAAGATATTAAAATTCTCTAGATGTTTGTTTTAAGTTAATATAATCACTTATAAAAAAAAGTGAGGCTTTTCTTTATTTTTCAGAAGTGGTTACACTTACTTGATTGTTTGGAAGAGGATAAAGAATCTTAAGTCTAACATTCAAATCATATGGTTGCTTAACGATGTTGTCGACTGAGACTATGTTTTGAAAGCCATGCATATCCTTTAAAGTCTTGTATATACTTTAAAATGAAAAATGTTGAAGTGATAAGAATGTTTTGGAGTTTAAATGGAGAAGAATAGATCGTTGGTGTGCCAATAATAAACTCTTGGTAGACTGTAAATTTCGATCCTGAAGGATGTGGCCTTGTATTTGTTGCACTTGCATAATATTGTCAACTGAATGTTGCATGTCCTAGACATCTCATTCTGTCACAATGTGATAGCAAAAATTGCCTGTAAGTTTGGAAGTCAAATGAAGGATCTGATGAGATTGGAGTGAACCTTAACTATTCTCATAGGACGACTACTTGATTCTGAGGTTATAACATGTGTCTGCCAAAAAATTCATGAGATATTGTTCTAAGCAGGTAACCACCATGAGGTTTTGAACCCATTCACCCTGGTCTTTTTACTTTTTCACATGCACTAATAAGGCAATTCATGGTGGTTCTTGTTTGCTCATATAGAAGTTGGAACTTCGTAATATATATCATATATATCGTAGTCCTAGTCCTAGCAAGATATTGCTACCAAGCAGAGAATTCAGAGATCCCTTCTTCCATTTCAAAGTTCTTTTGCAACTTAATCTTCTTCAGATTCTGGTGTAAAACTTATTAATCTGCTTCTTGTTCTTGACATAACATCTTTAAGCCGTCTAATACTTTTATAACCTTTCCTTCTGTTCTCATGGGCAAAAATCAATTACAGAATGGGAAGTCAAGGAAGGTAAAGAAATTACTCAGCAGTGGGAAGACGACTGGGATGATGATGATGTCAATGATGACTTCTCGTTGCAGCTTAAGATAGAACTGGAGAGCAATGCGGAGAAAAAATGAAGAGACACTTGACACTTGCTTTTTTATCTGCCAACATCTATGTTTTATTTGTGCTGTTTGACCCTCAAGATGGTTTTATTATGCCTTCTATCTTTGCAATTAGTGTCATGAATATGCTTAGCCCGAATCGGAAACATTGTAAGCATTTAAGATCAGCATATTGAGCACCTATGACCATCTGCCCAGATGATAAGGCATTTAGTTAATTTGATGATAGTCCTTGCTTTACAAGTCACTTCACTTCCAAGTTTTTTCAAGTTAATGGAAATACTAGAGGTGAAGGGAGAAGATTCAAATTTTAATCGATGAAGTTTTATAGAGTCGAGTAATTGTTCCATTATATTAATCAAGGTACCAGTCTGCTCGTCGTGTTTAACCGATTCAAATTGTAAAGTTCTACGCAAAAATTCTAAAATCACAACTCATTATGTCAATTTAATAACGATAACATTTTATACTAATCTTATTCAGGAACATAGCTGACAAGCCATTGTCTTTGTCTAGCAGGCTTCATCCCACCACACCATGAGCCCATCTTGCTGAGTGCCAACATCTCAAGGCAGAAGAAAGGAAAGCCTTTTTTTTCGCTTCTTTCTGGTCAGAGCATTGGAAATCCTTCGCAACAAAGCTCATACAGTGATGATGGGGGGAAGAAAGGTAAAGGTAAAGTTCATTTAATTGTTCACTTTATTATCTCCACTGGGTAAAGGAAGTATTGTCCTCAAATAAAGGGAGGGACACTCTAAAAGCAAAAGAAAAAGGTATGTATCCTTCTCATTTGTTTTCTTTTATACTAAGAAAATTAGGTGCTAAATACTTGGAGAAGCTTAACATTAACTAAGAGGACACTCAAAAAGCAAAAGAAAACTTCTCCAAACCCTATCTGATTCATATTGTTGTCATTTGCTTTCTTTCAAACTAAGAAAACTGAATGTTAAATACTAACGATAGGACCTTGCCATCACCATATTTTTTCTCTGCTAGGATTGAACTACCATGGTAACTCAGAAACGAAAGGTGAGATTCAATGTCGGAGGCAAGATATTCGAAACAACGGCGACAACCCTTTCGAATGCCAGTGAAAATTCATTATTCAAAGCTATGTTGGATGGTGCCTGGACAGCACAATATGAGGAATTTGGAGAATATTTCATTGATAGAGACCCTGCTTGCTTCCATGTCCTTCTTCATCTTCTTCAAACTGGTGAGCTTCTTGTTCCTCCAACCATTCCCGACACGCTTCTCTGTAGAGAAGCTCATTACTATGGACTTCTAGACCAGGTTCTCTCTGCCAGAAGCGTCGAGTTAGACGGTGAAAATCTCAAACTTGCATCCTCCATAACTGGTCGAACTTTGTTGCAAGATCATTCAATAATAAGAGCAAGCGCTAATGGTAGTTGCTCAATTGCCAATGGCAGAGTTTTCCATGTCTACGATTGGATGCTCCAAGAACTCTCAATTGCAAATCTTGATTACATGAAGATTGTGGACATGGAGTGGTATGATTCAACAAGCATCTTAATCAGTGGACGGAAGCACTCAAATCCAAACACTGGTGGCGATGGTGGCGGTGGAATTGGTCTCTTCAATCCACAAACTGCTAAACTTCAACATAAATTTAAGCTCACTCAAACTTCATCTTCTTCTTCTAGATCTCATGGAGGAGACAATCAATTTTCGAGAACAACACCCGGAAATCTAGCGATCAACAACTCAAACGACAAAATATTTTGTTGCTGTAAACATGATTCATACACGAAGGTGGGTGGCATTGGAGTTTGGGACACAACAACAGGGCAGCAGATTGATTTCTTAGAAGGTGGATATAACAGTGGGCTTCACAACACCTTCAAGCTTCAATGGCTGCCGAGTAACAAGTGTTTAGTAGCAGCAATACGTAGCCCACAAAGCAATAGAATAAGCATATTTGATCCAAGAATGAAAGAAATGCATTCAGGTCATTGGGAGCACAATCCATACAAACTGAAACATCGAGGAGCATTAGTAGATGCAATGGGGATTGAGGAAATGAACTGTGTCTGTGTAATAGACGAGAACGGTTTTTTCGGTTTTTTCGACTTGAGAGGGCTCGGAGGTGAGTCCCAAATGAACAGAGCTTGGTGGAGCTCTGAAGAAGAAGAGAAAAGGGAACGGTTCCCTTTGCCAGGGGAGATGGTGCACATTGTACCTGGTGGAAAGCCGAAGCTGGGATGGCATGGAGGGAAGCTGTTTTGCTCTACAAATAGTGCCATTTCAGTGTATTGTGGGTCTGGATTTGAATGGGAATTGGCTTCTCAAGTTGAACCCAAAAATGGAGGATTCATTCAGGACTTCTCCATTGGAGGGGACAGGTTATTTTCACTTCATGCTTTGCAATTTAATCACTATAATATCAATGTATGGGAGACACCACCGTCGCCCTTGCCGCCGCTATTTATATAGCCAATAAGTTATTGAACTGATTGTTGTTTTGAGAAACTTTTTAAGCATATTATGTTTTTTATTTAGTCCTCCAAGTTTCTCAAATTACATTTTAGTCCCTTTTAGTCGGGTAGTTTGATTTTTCTTTTTTTAAAAATAATACTTTAGTCGTCGAGTAAAATAATATATCACCTGATGACATGTCAAATGTTGAAGGAAAGAAGTATGTCCTATAAATTTTGCAAGTTTTGGTTGTACCCTCTTTTTCATCTCTTTCTTTTCCTCCTCTTTTGACTGCGGGTGCCTCACATCTTTGACCGTTGTGCTAAGTGCCACAACCTAACTATGAAAAGAGTAGGTTGTGACCCTCACGTTGCAACAAGAGAAGCGGTGACCTTCAAGTGGCGCCATCCGGCCACGGGAGGACCTAGACGAGTGACATGATGCTATCAAAGAGGATGATGCATCATCAACACATCACACAAAGTAGACATTGAAGACTAGTTGAGACATAAACAAGACAGAGACATCGAATAGATAAGAAGGGCAAAGATAGGCTTGTTGAAGGGCCGGGTAGGGTCTCGGGCCTTAACCTCAAAAGTCGGAGTTTCGGAAGGAATTAGGACATGCGGTTTGGGAGTTAAGTCCGACCATATGAAATATGAATGCTTGCCAAGTTTGGTGTCAATCGGACACCAGACGGACAATGCACGACACCGTATGACTGTTCGCCAAAATTATGTCTATGTTTAGAAGATTGAAAATGGCTCAAGATGTACTATAGGGGTTCCATGGGGTTAGCTCTCCACCACCCCTGGGCCCTGTGGCCTAAGTGAGCTACCTTGTGACACAGCGTGGGCGAGTGTGCCGAGACGAGTGTATCGGGCGACTTTTTTTGAAATGGGTTTTTCAAGGACAGTGCCGGACAGCACGGGTGTGCCGGTATTGCGCCTCAGCTCGTGTGTTGGAGGTTGCTACATACACCCGCTATCTGGCACGGTATCCATAAATGACACGGCATTGGCTCGGGAGGGTCAATGCCTCGATAGAACCAGGATGGATGGATGTTCGAAAAGTCCCGATGAGATGAATGACACGCGAGCCCATTCTCGATGGCATGACCGAACAAGTTGTGATGACCGACGACATCCCGAGACTCGGGATGACGTTAAGACATATGGACCATGTCGATGGAGATCGAGATGACAAGATGAGACGCGACATTGCATTGAGAGACCTTGGCCCGAGTAGAGGCAAGGTCGAGCCGAATGACTTGACCTAGTGTAGAGGCAAGTCGGTTGTGTCGCAGATGACTGAACATGCACGCACAGGCGGCGTGTGTAGACGGACAAGCTTGGATTTCACACAAGCGATGTTCGAGTGGCAAAGACAAACCTCGCCTAAGGTGCGACGAAGCCAGAAAGCCGGGACGAAAAATATATATGGGGCTTAATTCCCCTTAAGGCTGGTCGTGAGCGTGTCAATATCATGACGCTGCATGGTAAAAAATGTAGGACCGTGACACTAAGCTTACCATCGTTCGTGGTCGTCTTTGCTCTATCGCCTCCCTTGTCTTAATTGGTCGATGATTTCCTTCACTCATCTTTGATATGGCAAGTAAACCTAGCCAATTGAATTTAAGAACGATTATGAACATTTAAACTCTTAAATCACAAAGGGTAAAACTCCCAAATTAATTTAAATTCTCTGTATCTCAAATTAGTTTAAACTTTCAGATCACAAATGTTAAAACTCTCAAATTAAGATGATTTCATCTCAAGAAAGAACATAGAACGGATTTGTCTCCAAAATCAATATCAAAAGTAAAGAAAACTTGTTTTTAAACTCAAGATACAAATCAATTCATAAAATACTAAAAATCAATATATCTACCGTTAGTACTATGTTTAAAAAATATCCATAAAATTTTAAAAGTAACATAAAAATATTTTTGAAACATACTCATAAAAATATTTTTGATTTTTATTTAATGAAACTTTTAAAAATTTAAGGGTATTTTTAAAACACTATTGAAACAAATATTAACCGTTTCATACAAAATTAAATTTAAAAAATTAAAAAAAGTATTGTTTTAGTAGAATGTAATGAAAAATAGTATTTTTATTAATTTAGCGTTAAAATATAATATATTTTAACGTCAAGTAACTTTCTTTTTTTATTTATTTTTATTTTTAAATATGGACCAAACGAAATAAGGAGAAAGATGGGGGACCAAAATGCAATTATAACATTTTTCTCAAGACAAAACGCACATTGCACGAGAAATCCACAAAAACTCTTTTTCTCGCATATTGATGAACAATGTCGGATTGAACAATCGTGCAGCAGCAGCAGGAGCACGAGCAGCAGCAGCAGCAGCAGCAGCAGATGGCCCTATCAGTTAGCTGTTCAAATTCTTTCTATGAATGTTTCTTACAAAGCTATTGGGGATGATAATTGTGAAGCCTGCATGATCCACAGCGCTCAACCTGCTGAAATTTCCATTTCTTTTCCCTTCTTTCATTTCATCATTTCCATTAAAGCTTTGCACAATGGATCCTCTGTTGAACTCAAACTAAACCCACGATCTACTGTCCCTCTGTTTCTGCCGTATGGGTCGCTCTCTCTGTTCTCTCTTTCCCCTGTTCTGGATCTTCTTCTGCTTCTTCACATGTTTCAATTGTCTTCTCGTTACTGCTGAGGATCCTGACGGCAATAGATTAACTCCAATCAATCGCGATCTTTATCATTCTAGGTTTGTAAGTCTTCTGATTCGGATTCATACACTTCTTTCG